CATGAATCTCTGATGTGATCAGCAGGTTTTACCCAAGGCAAGATTATGTGGTAAATACTTCTCCATACTATTCCCATTCCTCTTCAGGATTCCTTTCCTATTAATTTCTGTGAAATTGCCAGGGGTTCTACTGAGAGTAGATTTGCCTAATAAACTTACACTGATAAGGAATTTGAGGTAAACATTTACCCATCCCAACAGAGTTTGCAAAAAGGGACACAGAATAGGAAGAACCAAAAAGAGCACATCTGAAATACTGGCTTTTCAAACTTATGGGAGGTATGTGAGTAGCCTTGGGAGGGTAGTATAACACTTGCATGGAGTATTATATTCTGTGGGACAGGTGACCTTCTAATCTGTCTAGAATAAGAGTGTTTCTTTTTCTGTAGGTCCTTGTCCACATGTGCATACATGAATATTGGCTGTATAAAGTGACTTTTGTGGGCTTCAGCTGCATCTTCTATCACCAAGGGTCTAGCACAGTAGATATCTTAACTAACTGCTTATTGCTAATTATAAGAACTTAAAATTAATAACAATAAAACCACCCCAGCATAGTTGTAGATCCAAACATCATCCCTTTGCTCTATTCCCTTGAGTACTACTTTTGACTGGCAAATTGAATGCTCATTTGCACTTAAGCTGTGATTTTTAGTATAATGCATCTGGAAATTTTTTCAACAAAAAAATTAGGATCCTTTCAGGCCCCAAATTTGCCCTAACACATGATAACACCATTATTTCTTATTTTGGACACTGTGTTCTGTACCATTTATTTTTTCCTTTATTTTGTGGATAAAGATTGGGCATTCGATTAACAAATTAAACTTTATTACATTGGTTTTGCAAATAAGCATGGTCTTGAGTAAACTGACACTTTGCATTTGGCCACTGGGGAACTCATCTGGGATAGAAACAACTCTTCACCCATTCCTCTCCACTTTCCCCTTAGACTCAGTGTATTTCTGTACAGTGAATTCTCTTTTACCACCCTCTTCCATAATCCATTCAGAGACTTTCCCCCAAGGAAAACAAAACATACAGGTCTCAGACAGAACTGAAAACTTTGGCAAGGAAGGAAGGAGTTGAGTAGGTGTGTACCTTGTAAATGCATGAAATTGTGGTACTAAGTGATGTTTGCAGTCCATTTTAGGACTCTATGGAAATTTCCAAAATATAGGATCTCCCTAATGCCACCTCCCTAATAGCTTCATCATCCTAAGACTGTGGGGATTTTTCCCTCAGCCTTATGCATCTTCTAAATCTGCATCATTGTCTGTTAATTTATAATGATTAACAGAATTGAGTTGCAATATTATACTTTACTAATAGGTACCACTATAGCCTGAGAATCAGCAGTGGTATTCTTTGGCTCGAAATCTTAATTTCAAAGCTCCAATCCATCTTCAGCATTTCTTGACTATCAAAGCTGTGTAACTTGAAGAAAATTACTTTACAACTCTGAGCATGTTTTTTCAACTACAAAATTGGGAGAAAATAGTACCTAAACTATAGGATTGTTTTGATGAGTAAATATCATGGTGAATGTAAAACACATTCATGTAAAATACAGTGCCTGGTATATTGCCAGCTTTCAGGCCATAAAATACTTTCCCCATCCAGAAAAAGAATTATTTCACTAAACAAGGAATAAGTGTAATTATTACTTTAACTGGTAACTCCCACCCAAAAATAATTTGGACAACCTATTTTTAAAAATGTGTCTCCATCTTTTAATTTCAGCACTCTGATATTTTATTGATGATGATGTGTTAATTCTGTGCAGTTCTATGGCAAGGCATAAAGCACTTTGCAGATCATAGAGTGCTAAACAAATTCTAGTCACAATTAAATCACTACTAATAAAGGTATAAAATATAGAAAATTCTTGGAAGGAGAGAATCCCTGGTATTTAAAATCACAGGCCTGATGCTATAAATATGTTTAGGAAAACTACTACATTAATTATAATCTCTGGTATAACATGTACTATTTTATGTGCATAATGACAAAGAAGCTAAGTTGAAATTTAGTAATTTTAGAATCATGAGGTAAACATTAATTAGATGATAATGAGCACATTTATTATAAAGAAAATTCTTCGAACTAATAATAAAAGCTCAAATCTTTCCTTTGTCTCTGCTTTAATATATTGTGCATTTCAGAATTACACTATAGGAAAAGAATAAGAGAGTGTTCTGGGTCTCTATTCTTAATTTGAGTGAGCTTGACCTTTTTCTCTTTAAAGTAGATCTAAGTGAGTCAAAATGTCTACTCCTTTTACATATAAAAGCAGAGCCACAGAGATTAACTTTTGAGTCTATTTGATATTTGACCTTTTCTCTGTAACTAAACAAGATAAAACCTTGCTACAGATCATGTAACTGCAAATAAATCACCCATTTCATAGATGCCATGAAGCATCGCCAGATGTAAATGACTTTGGTTAGGACATTGTCTTAAAGAGTCAAGAAACCCTGTTTCAAGTCCCAGCTTTAGCATTAATTAACTATGAGGTTTGAACTGGGTTTCTTCTTTCTTACTTTCTTCATCTTTAAAATGAAAGCTTAGACTAAATCATTGCTCTTCAGCTCTGATATGCTATTATTGGACCAATTTGGAGTGGAATTTAAGAGGTTCCTATAGGGGCATTTTTTTGGTTCTAATCAGGCTAACGTTTCTTGATCTAAATAGAAAAGATAAGTGCAGTGTAGCTCAGGAAATTTCACCACCGGGTGCTTTTTATTTCAAAATACATGAAGTTTGACTTGTGTGAGTTTTATCTTAGAAACCAGGCTGAAAATTTGAAATATATGTGTTCTATATAAGGAGACTGTTATGCCTGCATCCAAAGCTTAATGTGTGAAAACAGGCCTGAGGAAAATGAGGATACCAAGAGGTTAGCCTGTACCAAGCGGCAAGATAAATAGGTTTTAAGAAATCCAAATAATATCTTTCTGTTCTTTACTTATTAAAATCCTGCCATTCTTAATAGGCCCAGTTCAAACCCTCCTCCTGGAAGACTTCCCTGACTTATATATTGAGATTCCATCCCTTACTCCAGCCCTCTAGGATCCCTGACTTCCTCTCTGAAATCTTCCAGCACTAGATAGGACATTCTTAGGCCCTTATCACATGCATGTTGCATTATGTTTGAGGCAATTGCATAATTTCTTATCTGCTTAACTAGATTCTAAAAAGATGCTGGGAGGTAGTACCTTTCCTTTACCATCAGTCCTCTCCCACTCTTTGTCCTTCATTCTCCCCTCCCCAGCTGTATTTGATCTCCTGCTCTGCATTAAGCAGTTATTCAATAGATGTTTGCTGACTGGATCTAGGGCTGTGTGAGGACAGAGAGCATCACAATAAACTCTAAACACACCAAAAGCAAGTAGTAAAATTATTTAAACAAACAAACATAGTATTACCCATATCATCTGCCAGACATCAGAGTATAGAATAAAATAACAATGTAGGGGCAATGTGTTCTTGTCTGTTGTCAGTATACTTGGCCTAATGCAAATTTAAATTAATTTATCCTGTTTCCCCTTACATTTTTCCATATTTGCTCAAAACCATTCTCACTATAGTTAGCCCAGGACAAAATCATTAAAGTTTGTTTTTGGCAGTTCAGTGTTCTCATCCTGGGATCCCTTCAGTTTTCATCTATATCCTGTTCCCACCATTTACTCCTACCTACCTTTACAGTTCAGTATGTTTCTGGGACCAACAGGATTTTAAAATCAAGACTTCAGGAAGAAGATAATGCCTACCTTCAAAGCACTAGTGCTTCAGGCAAAGTAGAGGAGGTATTCTGAGGCAGAGAGCCCTCCAGGTACTCCTTGTAATATACCCACATAGGCATGTCCTGGCGTGAGGCTGGACCTGCACTAACGTATTTCTTTCTCCCGTGGCTCATGTGAAAACTCCACTTCCTCTGATCTAGAGTTACCACTCAAATCTTGGGGATTGTCTCCAGCTGCTTCCTGTTTATCTTACTGTGGGAGTGGGGGTGGGGGTGTTAGATGTCTAATACACTGGGGCACTGAGCTCTGGGGCTCCAGGGTTCCAGGGCTCAGTGTCTCCTTGGAGCACCATCTTCAAAAGCCTGTGGCTATGAGTCTGGGCTATAGGAAACCAGCCTCTTTTCATATAATCCTCCCTAACTACTAGGAGGAAATGGAATTTCCCTTTACTTCCTGGTCATAAGACTCCTGAGGGCAATGGGGAGTGGGTGGCCAGGAAGTGGAAGGTGGGTTATAGCTCCAAATTTCCCTTAAGGAGTGGAGTATTTATTTCAATGTCAGGATTTCAGAGGTTTGTGTATTTACAAACACCCTAGGCAAAAGTCATCCCCACCCTGACCTCTCCTATTGGGAGCTACCTGGGGAACATCCTTAAACAGAGAAATGTCTGCTTTGGTACCTGAACACTACTGAGAAGCTGTGAGAAAGGATTTTACTAAAGATTGCAGTGGTACACTATCTGTGGAATGGTCCAGAGGGCACCTAGTTTCAGCAAAGGGCTCCATAAACAAATAGGCTGTGTGCTATCATAAAGTCAAAGCTGAGTGCAACCACAGAATTGGAAGACAATGCACTGTGGCCCTATAAATAAAAAAGAGAGTTTGTTTTACTAAGTGTAAAGCTTTGCAGGCTCCATGTACAGCCTGTAGCATAGCCCTGCATCATTAATCAGAGAGAGAGAGAGAGAGAGAGAGAGAGAGAGAGAGAGAGAGAGAGAAAGCAAGAGAGAGAGAGAGAGAGCAAGCGAGCATGCTGCCCCCTGGAAAACGGAAATGTTCAGTGTGCTCAGAGTGGCTTGCATATTTCACTCTGACATCTTACTACCATGTTTTCCACCATGGTAGTGGTTAGGTATTCCTGAAAAATTTATTTCTTTTTTCTTTCCTTTGGATTTCATCATTTTTCTTTTGGCTTTCTTTTATTTTGTTTTCTTTTTATTTTTTCCTTCTTTCCTCTCTCCCTCCTTACCTCTTACCTTCCTTTTTATCTTCCTTCTTTCATTTATTTTTTCTTTCTCCTTTTTAAGTATTTTTTTTTTATGGTAGTGGAGGAGAATTGGATTGGTTGCTCTCAGAACAGGGAGTCTAAATTGATACACAGATCAGTAGCGTCCTTGCTGGAGTGGCTGTCGCATGAATTCTTTGGAGATCTCTGGAGAAAACAGAAAGAAACTGAAACGGTAGGCTTCAATTTTTTTAAATGCATAATTATCTCTCATCTGTGCTTTTTACCTTTGTTATCTGGAATTGGACTTTTCACATTAGGTTCTGGATAACCTGTCAGATTTATGGGTAATTATGAACATAATCAACCTGGACTGTCCTCACATGTCATTTCCTTGGTATTTGCACAAACAAAAATAATTCTATGGTTGGTTGCCTGAAGTGGGAGGGGGGAAGGTAACTTTGAACTTGGGAGATATGTAAGTTTGACATAGAGAGATTTTTTGAATAATGTATTTAGCTCAATTGATATTGAATAAAATAGCCCCATGAACATTTATAATTTAACCTATTCTGTATTAAGTAGAGTTACTTACATAAAAGTGCAGGATGATTTTTATCTATTTCTGCTATAATTGTTAGGGGATGATATTTTTATCTGCTGAGTGATTAAAATGGTTAACTTTGTACCTTTTAAAATCTGCTATGATTTTAAAAAATGAGAGCTGTAATATCTCAGGACCTTAACCAACATTAATGCATGTTCTTATCAGCTTGTATAAGTTACTTATTGTCACATTAAAAGTGAATTTTTGTAATTAATGGTAGCTGTAAAGATTCTACTTTCAAAGAAAGCAGTCAGAAAAAAACACAAAACATGTTTTTAATGACAAAGAGGGGAAATAAGAAAGATAACAGGCACAGTTGCCCTGTCTCTTATAGATAAGTTCCACCTGTCAGAGTAAGTAAACAGTACATTAAATAATCAACAACAGATAAAATGATTTTGGATTAAATTTACATTTTTGGATACTCATAATTGACTTATTTTGACAAAATGTAAGTGAAATTGTTTTCTGCTTTGCATCTTGTTTCTCTTTTGTGCTCAAAGAGAAAATATTTAGGAAGGTGCTTTCTAATTTTAACCCAAACGACAAGGCTATCAATGGCATATAACTGCTAGAAGCTGCATTCAGAGATGAAAAGAAAGAAAATGATGGATTTCCATTTGATACAGTGGTAGGAATGAGGCGAGATGTGGTTTATGCTAATATAGCTGTTGTTGCAAATGAAAGTGATGCTTCTGAGTCACACTCATCCACTTATTTTCCAAAGACTATACCAAATAAACCCATTTCAATTTTAAAATCCCAGATATCACCTTGTTATATGATAAACATTAGTAATAGTCAAGCCACTGACTACTGCATCCTTTTCAGGATTCACATACCACCAATTACTGTCCTACTCCTTCCTCTGCTGTCAATAGTGGTGTCCACATACTTTATTTTATATTGCTATAATCTTTCCAGGGAGAAAATAGCTATCATTTTATTCAATAAGCAGAACTATATATTTTAGAGAGTTTTGGGTCATTCAGCAAGGAGTATTTCTTTCCTCTAGCTGCTGTAAATCTCAGGTATGGAGGCAAAAGCATCAATCTCACAGAGGGATTGAAGTTCTTCAGCCCAGGCAAAGATTCTATCAGCCACACTGGCAAATATTTGGATCACATAAAAGCCATCCTTCAAGAAGTTTGTGTCCAACGGAGGATATATTTTTAATTACAGAAAGCGCTTTGCACTTGTTAGCACATGTACTGCTCTGCCTTGCTATATGTTTATAGTAATGTTTCTGTGAGACAGGAATCACCTGGTGTATCTATTCTGTTAGGGCCAGTGTAATATGGTGCTGAATACTGTAAAGGTGAGTAAACACAAAGTGGGGCATTTGCAGTTTCAAAAAGCCCACTCAATTTTACCTGAAGACCCTTAGGAATGAATGAACTCAATTATCCTCTTTTGTACTAGGTAACTGAAATGAAGAGGACAAAGAAGCATACCTTTTGCCTTCCTCTCATAGACTCTTTTGGCACCAATCAGATACCCAGAACCAGAAAGGAAATATAACTCCTTTTTCTGACACCCGTGCAATCCTGAGAGGAGGTCCCACAGATGGTTCCATTTCCCTAGCCCATTAAAGTGGCCTCCCCAAAACCTTCTTGTATGCCATAGGTCTCAAGAATGAGTTTCCAGATTCCTAGTCAGAGAATAAGAACTTACCAGAAACAGATTCAGACCCTCTCATTCACAGGAGCAATGGCAAACATCTGATACATTTTTATGCTTTGGGAAGTAAAGTAGATTGACAATTTACATTATACAATTGGAAAAACTGAGGTTCAGAGAGTTGAAGTTGAGGTGACTGGGCCAAATACCTCTGTGAGTCTGTGACAAAGAAAAGGCTGGAAGCCAGGTCTCTTGATACCTCGTCCAATGCTTGGTTCACTTCTCCCTGCTGCCTAACAAGGCTTGTGGATTAAGAGACATGCATTATTCATTGTAAAATATTAAAAGATGTCATTTTGAAATCACTCAAGAACCTCTCAATACCAGGGCATACTTTAGGCTTCTCCCAAGGGCCCTGATACTGGAGCAGAACTTGATTTTCTGGGCTTTACCACTGTTTCCTTGCAAGAATAAGAAAGAATTATTTCTACTGTGCCTATTGAAAGAATCCCCAAATCCAAATCAATACTAAGTGCTGTAATATGAGATTAACACATCCCTTGTGCCATGTATTGGATACTTTATATGCTATATTGAATGTCAGGGCAATAATTTGATCAATGTATAAAACCAGTCCTTAGGTCTAGGAGATTATAGATTTGAGAAGAGAGTCAAGATTTCAGGGTATCTGCCTGACAAAAGCAGGCATATGTGGCTGATCAGCTAAGGATAGTATATGAGGAAGCTAAATAAGGACAGTAATTGGTGGTATGTGAATCCTGAAGAGGATGCAGTAGTCAGTGGCTTGACTATTACTAATGTTTATCATATAACAAGATGATATCTGGGATTTGAAAATTGAAGTGGGTTTATTTGGTATAGTCTTTGGAAAACAAGAGGATGAGTGTGACTCAGAAGCATCGCTTTCATTTGCAGCAACAGCTATATTAGCATAAACCAGGAATCAAGATGCAGGCAGAGTTCCTGACAAATAATCAGAAGTGTAAGATTTTAGCCAAAATTAAGTCTGCATAGATGCTGGAAACTTGGGTATGGGTCAGGAACTTCACCAACTGTAACAATCGAGTCAGGAAGCCAAAATATAAATAAAATATTGCCAGGATCAATTATGTGGGTCATGTAGAAGCATGACTTGTGCCCAGAGCAGGAGCCAGGGCTGCCAATGCAGGCTCAGTTGCATCTCAGACACCATAATTACTATCTCACTGAGGACCTAAAATGTATTCAAATGTCTGCCAACAAGTCAAAAGCCCCTCAACTGCTATCTTACTTCCTGGCAATATATTTGTTTCTTCCAAAAGCTTTTGCTCAATATTATACTACTCATGGCAGACAATAACAAGGTTTTTTTCTACATTTTCAACAACGTATGAAGGGCTTTAACATTAGTATAATTACAATTACTTAGCTAAATTTGTTTAGCTTTAGTTGGCAGATCATATTCAAGTGTTTCTTATAAGCTAATCACATTACGAGATATTATTAAAAAATGACTTATTTTTATATGACAAAATAATTCTTACAACTTAATTATAGGATAATGGTGGTGAAATTATTTATTGTTTAGAGTATTTGATCTTTTATAGATGATACTGGTGACCTATAAGTTAGTTCTTTAAAATTAAAAGTATGTTATCACTAGTGTCTACCCTATTTGAAGTGTTAGACCAAATGGTGTGCTGAAAATTAAATAATATGTACATGATAGATGGATTTATTATTTATCAGAAGTGCTTTTACAATTAAATATTGTCACTAAAATAGATTATGAGAATAAAAAGCACACAGAAAGGATTTTTAAAAATTTATATTTTATTTTTAGCTACTACTTCCTGGCCCTTATTAATTTTTATACCAAAAGTCTTCTTTAATGTTCTAGAAATATATTTCTTCGATTTTTTCTCCCTACATTCCCATGATAATAGCATCCTGCTTCTGTATTATTGGGTCCAGTTTTGATTCAGATCTGTTTATATCTTTTTTCCCCTTAATTCTAACATCTTCTAAGTTTGAAGGTACCAGCAGACTTCTCTATTTTCTAAGAAAGTTAGGGTTAACATTAAGTAGTACTGATTTTTTAATACTTCATAAAACTACTTCAATCTAATAAAGGAAAGTTTAGTCACTTGACCTAGCATTAGTCTCTCTGAGGAAGAACCACTGAAAGTAGAAGTATCTAGTTTTGTTATCAAAAGCAGGCATAGTCTATATCAAGGGATCTGGTACAGTACTGCCTTTCCCTCTGATAGTCTATGACTTCCAAAAAGCTTATCAGGATTAAAAAGAAAAACCTACCTTGATAAAGAAGAGTATGACTAGACAGACTAGACTGTAAAGTGGCCAGTATAGATAGCCAATCCAGATTAATTAGGATAAGTAGATTTGGAGTCCAAGTTATCCTGAATGGGTGATTATATATTGGATTTGAGGATACCTGGATTTGCTCTAGCCATCTTGATGAAAGGTCTTTTTTTGTCATGGAGAATAGAGTAAACTTCCCTCAATTTTGGACCATGAAATTTGATTAAGCAAAACACTATGAGGACATTTTGCAGTCTGCAGAGAGAACAGGGCTGTTTTTCAAAATACGGAGCATGGCCTGGATCATATTTGATGTAGAATTACTTGTTAATAACTGTCCTGGTTCTAAGTTACAGTTGTAAGAATTGCACATTGAGAAATGTCATCTGTGTGTCTATTTGTGTCTTTAGGGAAAAATCACTTAGGAAATTTAAAACTGTCTGACCTGTGAGAATCATTAAATTTGAAAATCCCTGTGAAATAGTCCAATAGGAAAATTATATTAAGGTTGATCACCATAGGTTATAAGTACTCTCTGACTGAGATTTGGACCAAACATATATGGCCAGAGTAAAACTCTAGGCTAAATCGATATCTGGAGAATATGGGCATGATGATTGATCATGCTGGCTCTTCCTCAAATGTTGTGGGACCTCTGTTATGTGGGCTGCTTGAGTACACTGGAT